TCTAAGAATGCCTGTGTGTTCACTTGTAAAAACTGTAAAAACACTGGGGGGAGGGGGATGTATTTGTGGCAGATTATAGCTATTGTCATTGCCCTCATGTTACAACATCCTTATTAAGTAGAAAACAGTATTGAAGTAGTATACAATTTATAATCAAAAGATCCAGATTGAGTTTCTATTCTGCTATATAGTAGCAGTGGGACTTGGAGCAAGTTACTTCTCTGAATCTGAATTTTTTATCTGTTACATGAGAATGATCATCTTTGCTTTACCCATCTCATGGGTTTATGATAACCAAGTAAGATTTTCATTTGGTTAATATTTTAAGTAACACATGAAAATACTATTTGTAGATACATATAATTGTTAATACTCTACGTGTTATGTTAGAATGCCAGGCCCTTTCATCATTCAAAACTAACTTTTCTTTAATTGGAGATCAAAGTACTTTGGTTTGACAGTATTTTAATCAGAGCTGTAATAGTTGGAAGACCCACAAAAACCAGTCAAGCTAGTTCAAGGAAAAAAGAGATATATTGTAAGGATATAGCAGAGCAAATAAGATCAGAATGGGAACTGCTGAACATTTAGTCTGCACAGGAACTAGAATTCCAAAGGAATCAGGAATGGAAGCTGATCTCACTTGTTTTTTCCTCTCTCTCCCACTTCCCACAAAGGGCTGGATTCTTCCATGGCATCTCTGCTCCCTTTTCTCTGGAGATAGGCTTTCTCTGTCTTCTTATTGAGTTTGTACATGACTCATCATAGCCATGCTTTCTCAGGTTTACCACTCATGACCAACTCAGGATTTCCATTTCTTCCTCCCTCCCTCCCTCCTTCCCTCCCTCCCTTCCTTCCTTCCTCCATTTATTTCTTAGGTCAAATTTCTGCAGAGAGAATCTGTACACTTGGGGAGACTTTTTTTTTTTTTTCCCTAGGCTGGCCTCAAATATCTGGGCTCAGGTGATCCTCAAACCTCAGTTTCCAGAGTGCTGAGACTATAAAGGCATGTAGCATGGGGCTCAGCCTGAATTTTTAAGCCAGACCACATAGGCGTTGATATATCACTGGCCAGCCTATAGATGTACAGTCTTCTCTGGTTAGCAGAGTCTGAGGATGTTGTTTTTCCTAAATCATGGGATTGAACCCAGGGCCTCATGCCTGCTAGGCACGTGTTCTTGCATTGAACCAAACCTGTTTAGTATAGGCAATTTAGGTATGGTTCATATTTTATTTTTGTTTTGTTTTCTGTATTTTTTTAATCTAGATACATGACCTTGAACCAAGTGAAACTTGCTCTCTATCTATCTATCTATCTATCTATCTATCTATCTATCTATCTATATATTTGCAGTGCTGAGGATTGAACCAGGGTCTCATGCCTGCTAGGCACATGTTCTTGCACTGAACCACATCCCCAGTCCAAACCTTGCTTTTCTTAAATTTTTAAGCCCACTTTTTTCCATCTCTTAAAGGTAATAATTATATCAGTGATTATTAGTCAGGGGCAAAGGATTTTTTATGTTGACACAATAGTTGTACATATTTTGGGACCAGGCACAGTGATATACACAGCAACTTTGGAGGCTGAGAGAGGAGGATCACAAGTTCAAAGCCAGCCTCAACAACTTAGGGAAATCCTATCTCAAAAAATAAAGAGACCTGGGGATGTAGCTCAGTGCTAGGTTCCTCATATATTCAATCTCCAGTAACCCCACCCTCCCCCCCAAAAATACCTCTTTGGGGGGTATAGTGGAATATTTCCATACAGATAGACAACATGTAGTAATCAGGTCAGGATAATTAACGTATCCATTACCTCAAATATTTATCTAGGATTTTTTTTAAAAAGGTGCTAGAGGTGTATCTCAATGATAGAGTGTGTGCTTAATATGCATGAAGTTCTAGGTCCAATCCGTAGCACCAATATTAATATTTTAGTGTTTTGTTTTTTTTAATTTGGAGATTTTCCAAAAAGAAAACCCAAAATGACCCATAATATTACTATACGTATAGCTGTTGTATATACTTTAAAAAATGAAATGGTATAAATTAGGAAAAATTTGTTAGATACTTGGTCCCCCCCAAAAACTGGGGATCAAACCCAAAGGGGCTAAAGATGTAGCTCAGTGGTAGAGCACCCCTAGATTCAATTCCTAGTACAGCAAAAAAAAAAAAAAAAAAGGGTCTGGGATTTAACTCAGCGGTACAGTACTTACTTTCCATGCATGAGGCCTTGGGTTCAATTTCCAGTACTAAAGAAAAAAAGAAATCTGAGGTTACTTGAGATGGGAGAACACATTACTTTAGAGTCTAAATATCTAGTAATGTAGATTTTTAAAATTTTTGTGATACTGGGTATCAAATCTAGGGTCTCATCCATTCTAGGCAAGTATTCTACTGAGCTACCTTCCCAACCCTAAATAATTTTTATTGATCAGTTCTCACCTCATAAATCAGATTACATGAAACATTAATTTCCTTAAGAATGAGGATAAAAGGCAGCAAGCAATTAAAAATACATTTATGAAAATTTACTTACCAAAACCTTCATATTTATCTGAAAGTAGTGAGGTATGGCAGAATCTCTTATATAAATCAGATATTTTTTTAAGCAAAAACAAAGAGAACCTAACAGATCTTTGAGGAAAAATCATCAGGATCACATGCTTGTTATGCATTTTATTTTCAGATTTCTTTTTAAGCCTACAACATCTGTAGTATCATCCAGTGATGATTTTGGCTTCATTATTTTGAATTTTTTACAACATTAAAAAAACCTCTGGGACTGGGGTTGTGGCTCAGTGGTAGAGCACTCGCCTGGCACATCCGAGGCCCTGGGTTCAATCCTCAGCATCACATAAAAAAAATAAATAAATAAAATAAAGGTATTGTGTCCAACTACAACTGAAAAAAAAAAAACCAAAAAACAAAACTCTGAAAGAGTCATTTTTGAACCTTGAGTGACAGCCAGCACAGAAAAGAATATTGCAACATATCACTATATGACCCACATAGTAGACAGTCATTCTTCAACATTTGTGGTATCATAATTTCTAAAATAGGTAGCAATCTTTGAAAGCCTTTACTAGCATAGGAGTGTTATTTGAATTCTTATGGTATTATATCCAAAAGAAAAGATCTTGTGCTGAATATAAGTACAGAATGTGATATTGATTGTATTATCTCCTGTAGGTGACTTAAATGACCTAATGCCTGCATATACCTCCTCCATCTTTCTTTTTCTTCCTTTCTTCTTTCTTCCCTCCCTTCCTTCTTTCCTTCTTTCTCCTCTGCCTTCTCTTTCTTACTATTGAACCCAGAGGTGTTCCACCAATGAGCTATACCACATCCCTTTTTTTTTTAATATTTATTTTTTAGATTTTAGGTGGACACAATATCTTTATTTTATGTTTATGTGGTGCTGAGGATCAAACCCAGTGCCTCATGCATGTTAGGGGAGCACTCTACCACTGAGTCACAATTCCAGCCTCAGCCCTTTTTATTTCTTGACTTAAGACAGGATTGCCTAAACTGGCTTTGAATTTAGGATCCTTCTGCTTCAGCCTCCCAAGTAGCTGAGATTACACATGTATGCCACTAGGCCCAGCTTTTCTCATTGCTTTTGAAATGCTTCTGAAATTGAAAATGTATTTGACATTTTAGGGCATATGTCCTTAAAAAAAAGCATAGTTAAATAATAGTATGTCAAGAAATACATGCATACAATGGGGATGGTAGTTGGGTTGATTTTCTAGGAGAGAAATAGATCTTTGAACTAGCAGTGCCTTCAACTATAGCTCTCCTTTTTACTGTTTCAGAGCCGCTGACTTCAGCAATGGAACAGGAAGAATGTGACTGATTTAGATTGATAGACTCTTGATAAAGTGATTATCTGAATCTGGAACCCACATTATAGCTTTATCTTTTTTTACTGTGAAAATTTCAGCTTTTGGGGCTGGGGACGTAGCTCAAGCGGTAGCGCTCTCGCCTGGCGTGCGTATGGCCTGGGTTCGATCCTCAGCACCACATACAAACAAAGATGTTGTGTGCACTGAGAACTAAAAAATAAATATTAAAAAATTCTCTCTCTCTCTCTCTCTCTCTCCCTCCCTCTCTCTTTAAAAAAAAAAAAGAAAAGAAAAAAGAAAATTTCAGCTTTTTTATTTCCATATGAGTAATTTAAGTCATAATTTTTGTTTTATCTAGATTGTCTTACAAGGACATGCAACAAGAGTAACTGCTAAATCTCAACAGAGTGGAGAAAAAGCATTTCAATGTAAATATGATGGATGTGGAAAATTATATACAACAGCTCATCATCTCAAGGTGTATATATAAGTGTTTTATTTAGTTATAAGTATACCTAGGACATTAAATACTAATGTGATATGCATATAGCATTCAAATGCTTATCAAAATACTGACACATGCTCACACTCAGACACACAAAAAAAGCCTGTACAGACTGTAGAAACTGTCAGTTCTTTAAGGGCCTGGACTGTGTTTTTTCCCCTGTATATCCCTGATGTCCTGCATATTATATGGCACATGTGAGACACTCTGTATATTTCAAAACATTTGGTCAAATATGAAATTTATATAATTATATGAGAAATGTGTATGTTCACTCTGCTAACAGTGATTCACCAGAATCCAGCAAAAGTTGATGTTAATTTGTCCTGTATTAAATTTTTGGATGAAGTATTTTATTTTATTGTAGATGAACACAATAGAAGTACTGTGACTCATTATAACAATATCTAAGACATATTAAATAACTATGTCAGAAAGTGTGCACTTAGCATATTTTGAGTAGTGACCCAAGAGTCCATCTTCATTACTTGTTAGTGTATAACCTTGGCATATAATTGACTTCTTGGTACCTCATTCCCCCCCAACTATAATTTGATCATAAGAGTACCTCTCTCTCAGAGTGGTTATAAGAATTAAGTAAGTGCTGCTGTTTCTGTAAAGTACTAAGAAAAATGGCCTGATATGTGAGAAATGTTCATTGAATGGCCATTGTCATGATTACACATTTGTCACAGCAATAGATACTATTATGTCCCCACCTTACAAAGAGGACTTCAAGGTTTAGAGAAGGAAGTGGTGGAACCTTACTTCAAACTTAGACCCCTCTAATAGCAGCCTCTACACTTTTTACATTGGGTAACGTTTCCTTGCACCCTGTCCTAATTCTCTTCATGCATGTTTCATGCAGGTACCTTTAATCACTCTGGAAAAACTCAGACCTCAGATGTTCCTGTTCCTTGTTAAAATGAATATTTTAAACCCATTTTATCCCCTCATCCTAGATGTGGAATACAAATAAAAACTTAAATATGGGCTGGGGCTATAGCTCAGTGGTAGAGTGCTTGCCTTGCATATATGAGGCACTGGATTCAATCCTCAGCACCACATAAAAATAAATAAAATACAGATATAGTGTCCATCTACAACCCTCCCCCCCAAAAAAAAAATTAAATGTAAGCTAGGCATAGTGGTGCACACCTATAATCCGAACTACTTGGAATGCTGAAGTAGGAAGATTGCAGGTTTGAGGCCAGCATGGGCAACTGGCAAAAACCTCATGGCTCATGTCTGTAATCCCAGCAGCTTGGGAGGCTGAGGCAGGAGGATTGTGAGTTCAAAACCACCTTCAGGAGAAGCCAGATGCTGAGCAACTCAGTGAGACCCTGTCTCTAAATAAAATACAAAAAAGGTCTCTCCGAGGTGTGTGCCACTGCGCCTGGCTTGTTTGCTTGTCTTTGTCTTCTTTTTTACAGTGCTGGGGATCCAGCCTAGGATCTCACCATGCTAAGCAAGTACTGTACCACTGACCTATATCCCTATCCCTGGGCTATAGTTTTTGTGGAAAAGGTGTTTTATTTCTTTCAAAAGCATACAACAAAATCACTCAGCAATAAGAGGGGAAAATAGGTCTATGTTAAAATCATCTTACTTGAGGAGTGTGTGGAAGAAATGGAATCATGCCTGTGTTTTAATAATAGGTCCATGAACGGTCACACACAGGAGACAGGCCTTATCAGTGTGAACATCAAGGCTGTGGGAAAGCTTTTGCAACAGGTAAGAACATAAATTTTCTTTGTTTCTAGGTTCTGATGGAGGTCAAGCAGAGATAAGTGGGCAAAAACTTGACCCTTCATCCTTGTCTTGAGTCCAGAGAACACATGATTGGGTTTTCTTTTCTTTTTTAAATATTTATTTTTTAATTGTAGTTGGACACAATACCTTTATTTATTTATTTTTATGAGGATTGGGCCTCACACATGCTAGGCAAGCGCTCTACTGCTGAGCCACAACCCCATCTCTTCTTGGGTTTTTTTTTGTTTGTTTGTTTGTTTTTTGAGAGAGAGAGGATTTTTTTAATATTTATTTTTTAGTTTTCGGCGGACACAACATCTTTGTTTGTATGTGGTGCTGAGGATCGAACTCGGGCCGTACGCATGCCAGGCGAGCACGCTACCGCTTGAACCACATCCCCCAGCCCTTATTGGGTTTTCTTAACTCTTAACTGCCTCCTTAGCCTGATTGCTCTACCCCTCTCTGTGTTCTTTTTTCCTTCACAGACCTGTCTTTGCCTACTTTGGTGCTTTTTACTACATGTTCTGCTTTCTTTTAGCAAGAAAAATAAAAGCCAAATTTTAAAAGCTGACTAAAAATTTAACATTAATACAGACCTTAGGGAACCACTGAGAACTGGGACTTAACAGTGAGATGGAGTCTCTCCAGGGATATATGTGGCAGGGCCAACATGTACCAGTCCTCCTGACATTCATTCTTTGTTCCTTGTCTTGAATCCAATTTAAACTTTTTGGATATGAGTTGTGAACATCATCTAATATAATTGGGATGCTTTTTAAAAAATATATTTTTAGTTGTAGATGGACACAATACCTTTATTTTATTTATTTTTATGTGGTGCTGAGTATTCAAACTCAGGGCCTAACACGTGCTCTACCACTGAGCCACAACACCAGCCCAATTGGGACACTTTTAAAAAATTAAACACACACTTCTAAACAGAGATAAACTACTAACAATTTTCAGTGTGATAGTCCTGAGCCGTCTAAGGACGTTTTTAATAACGTGTTTTATTCTTGGAATTTACTATATTTTTCAATACTTTAATTTCAATGTGAATGTTTAGAGGAGTATTGTGTAATTAAATTTCTTTTAAATTTTCCTTGAAGGTTATGGATTAAAAAGTCATGTCAGAACTCATACAGGAGAAAAGCCATATCGGTGTTCAGAAGATAATTGTACCAAATCTTTCAAAACATCAGGAGATCTACAGAAACATATTAGAACTCATACAGGTACCATTGTAAATAGTGTCATATGTAGGACAAGAATTCTTGATCTTCAGGGAGGGGATTTGGGGAAGGAGTATCTGGAAAAATTTCAGGGAATCAGTATCAGGGACTTCTTTTAAATTCCTGAAATTCCATGGAATTTGCTGTTTGTGTTTATATATTTCTTACCAGGATAAGGGCTCAAGACTCTCTTAGATTCTTAAAAGGGTCTGTGTTCCAAAAGAGATGAACAGTGGCTCTAGAGTACCATCCCTTGCAGCTTGTAGACATTATCTGAGCAACAAGCTCATTTTCCTAGGATTGCATGTCTAGTTAGTAGCCTGAGAACAAAACCTAAGGCACCTGATTGTGCCTGAGTGTAGTACCGCTTCTCCTCAGTAAGCTGCTGCTAAAGAAAATATCTGAACCCCTAATAGCCCCACAGAAAGAAAAACATGTAGCCACTTGCAGCAGTGTATGCCTGTAATCCTAAGGACTTGGAGACGGAAGCAAGAGGATCACAAGTTCAACTCAGGGAGGCTGTCTTCAAAATAAAAAATAAAAAGGGCTGAGGATATATCTCAGAGATAGGGTGCTCCTGGGTTCAATCCCTAATACCCCTCTCCCCACCCCCTCTCCAAAAAAAGACTTGTTACTTGTGACCATCTCTTCTCTTTAAATGTCTTTATTCTTTTTCTTTTTTAAACTTCTTGTTTCCTTTTTTTTTTAGAGAGAGAGAGAGAGAGAGAATTTTTTTAATATTTATTTTTTCTAGTTTTCGGTGGACACAACATCTTTATTTTATTTTTATGTGGTGCTAAGGATCAAACCCAGCACCCCACACATGCCAGGCGAGTGCGTTACCGCCTGAGCCACATCCCTAGCCCTCTTACCTTCTTTTTCTAAGTGGTACTTTATTCTTATCTTCTCTCACTCCCCTCTCTACTCTATGCTTGACTGCTTATGGAATTGATACTACAAGGGTGATTATTTGTTTTTAGGTTTTTTGTTTTGGTATCAGGGATTGAACCCAGGGGCTCTTAACCACCAATCACATCCCGACCGCTTAGCTCTCACTAAGTTGCTTAGGGCCTCACTAAGTTGCTGAGGCTGACTTTGAACTTAAGCTTCTCTTGTCTCTGCATCTCTAGCCACTGGAGCTTGGATTCTAGGTGTGTGCCACTACGCCTGGCTTAAGTATTTGTTTTGGATCAGAGCTGAACAAAATTCAGAAACTGTTGATAAAAGATGCTATTTTAAGCTATTGACTAAGTAATAAAGCATAAAATAATTTAGAGATTTTTAGTATAGGTGTTTTAAACATGGTGTCATAACCTTGTCCCCAAATGTTGCAATTTTTGCACTTCCAAAAACTCTGATATAGTTTAACAAATTTCCAGGGAGGATTCTTCTAGCAACTAAGGTTAATCTTTAGTACAAACATGATCCTAAATTTGCTTTACTTTGTAATGCTTAGGAATGGATGTAGGTATCTGCTTCCATCTCATTCCTGCACTTATTTTTATTAATTGTATCAAAGGCAAGTGTTTCCAAGATGCTATAAATTTTGTTTGGATTTGCAATATAAAGTCAATTTGTTGTATAAAAGCTATGTACAACCATTGACATTGAGCAAAAACGTCAGGATTATGATTTTTTTTTTTTTTTTTTGGTACCAGGGATTGAACCAAGGACATTTAACCATTTAGCCACATTCCTAGACCTTTTTTTTTTTTAACTTTTGAGACAGGGCCTCACTTAGTTGCTGAGGCCGACTTTGAACTTGGGATCCTTCTGTGTCAGCCTCCCAAGATTATGAGATTATAGGCGAGCATCACTGTGCCTGTCAGAATTGTGATTCTTTAATTCATCCATGAAAACATACAGTTTTGTTCTTTTTTTTTTTTAAGAGAGAGAGAATTTTTAAATATTTATTTATTTATTTTTTAATTTTCGGGGAACACAACATCTTTATTTTATTTTTATGTGGTGCTGAGGATCAAACCCAATGCCCCGTGCATGCCAGGCGAGGATGCTACCACTTGAGCCACATCCCCAGCCCCTTACACTGGTCTTTATGTTTTGTTATTTCTTTATTTTTGGTGGTGCCAAAAGTTAAACCCAAGGCCTTTTGCATGCTAGACAAGCTCTACCAATGAGCAATACTACCAGCCCCCATACACCACTTTTATCATGACATTTTCATGATTTAAAATGTTATAATGGCATGACATTTCAACATGGTACAATGTTGGGTTGAATAAGGGGCTTAGGAACTTAGGTGATTTCAGTCAAAAACAAATTAGGTGCTACAGAATAGTAATACATATAGTACAACGAAAATTGTCCTAGAACAGTTGATGCTTTTCATAGCACGTCACAGGTGGGAAGACTTTAGAGGTCTTCTAGACTTGGAGGAGATGGGACTTGCCCAATATGAATTCTGTTCTCCTTTGGTGAACATATGGTGAAAAATTCACTTGAAGAAAAGAGAAAGATTCCGTTCCTTTTTTAATGATTTCAAACTTGAGGGCGGAAATCTTTTGGAATGGTCTGTACCAACAGGGAAACCATAATTTTATTTGACCCAAAGAAAAATAACAGACTTTCTCTCTCTCTCTCTCTCTCTCTCTCTCTCTCTCACTCTCTTTTTCCCTCTCTCTCTCTATCTCTTTCCCTCTCTCTCTCTTTATATGAGTGTGTGTGTGTATGTGTATATATATATATATGAAATACTTGTGTCTATCTATAAAGATACTTTTTTTTTCCTGCTCCAGAAGTTGATTGCTTGAGTTCATTATAGAAAAGGACACATAGAAATTGAAAGCAAAAGCTATCTCCTGCTTGACTGTTCAAAGGACTTTTGAGTTTCAAGGTTATATAAAGCAAATAGGAAAGAAGGAATATAATTGGCAGAGTTTTCATTCATAAGTTTGGACTATGAGAATAGTAATGTATTTAGCAAGTATTTTGACAAACATGCTAAGCACTAGATTTTAAAAGATTAAAATTATTTTTTCTGCCAGATATCATAGTATAAATAAAGCAGGAAACAAACTTTTAAGAGATTCTGGGGTTGTTCTAACTTAATCCTTATTCTTGACCCTATTTTTCTCTTATATATTTTTTTCTGCCATTTCTTTCCATGCTTTCTCAGCTCAATTTTTAATATGCACACCTGAATGATTCCATCTTGGAGAGACATGTAATCACTGATGAATTTTGAATACCATTCAGTTCTTCTAAGGCAAATTTGTTAGGAGTGGAAAATACTTTTTCCAGGGAGAAAAGAAAAGCCTAAAAGGGAAACTTAAACTTAAAAAGCCTAAAAGAGAAGACTCAAGTCTTGAGCCTGATCCCAGGCAAAATTGAAGATAAGACATTTCAATTTTCTATATATTTTTGTACCATTTAATTTATTCCCCTTTGTATTTTCAGGAGAAAGGCCCTTTAAGTGTCCCTTCGAAGGCTGCGGTCGGTCCTTTACAACATCAAATATCAGAAAAGTGCATATTAGGACACATACAGGAGAAAGACCTTATTATTGCACAGAACCAGGATGTGGGAGGGCATTTGCCAGTGCAACCAATTATAAAAATCATGTGAGGATACACACAGGTAATGATCTCTGATCTCTTGGTCCTTTATCTTTGAAGGCTTAGTTTAATTCTTGCCCCTTCCAGAAACAATTCCTAGCTAATCTCTTCTTTTCTTCCTACCAGTTGGCATGGAGGAAAGAAGTTAGACACCTTTAAAATTTTTCAACTTAATCATTCTTTTGTATGTTCGTTTCTTCAACAGTTATTGACATCTATCATGAGTCTTATCTGTCTCTAAATCTATCATAGATTTAGAGACAGATAAGACATTATCAAATACAGTCTAGTTGGGGAGAGATTAGTGGTCACAAGCTTGCTGAAGAATGTCTGTAACATGAACAAGATGCTTGGGAGCAGAGGCAGGAATGGTCATTTCTTGCAGGAAGAAATGTTTCAGAAAGACGTTACTGGGGAATTTGACTTTTAGACTGAATCCTGATGTAAAAGGTAGACAGAAGATTATTCTTTGCAGGGGAAGTGTAATGAATATAGGCACAAAGGTATGAAAAAATATAATATTGGGTGGTTCCATATAATTAGAGCATAGATTACATGTAGAAGATTTGTACATAGTGAAGTCGGAGGAGTAATCAGGGGACTTTTGTATTATGCTGCCATGGTAAGGGTGTTTCTTAAATTAAGCTGTGGAGCTTGTGGGGTAGAAAAGGAGGAATGATCTATAGATAAATTTTCTGCTTTTTTGGCAATACTGTGGATTGAAACCAGGGTTGGTGCTCTACATCTCCAGCCGCGCCCCCACCCTTTTTTTTTTTTCAATAAGACAAGGGTCTTACCAGGTTGCCCAGGCTGTCCTTGAGTTTGTGATTCTACTGCCTTAGCCTCTCAGGTCACTGGGATTATAGGTGTATACCACCATGCTTGGCTTC